GTAGCTAATGGTGTTTTTGTGAACATTTAGCTAACTTTCTTTCTATTTTTGTGTTCATGAAAAGGTTTATTGATTGTGTGAGTGAGATTTTTCTTGGATGAGTCAGTGGTTGCATTTGAGAGCTAAGGGTTCTGGGGTTGCCGAGTAACTGCCTGCTCACTTACGTGTGTGTGTTTATCCTCACAGGCATAAAGAGGCATACACATGGACAAACCCTTTCTGCTGTGTACACAATATAATTCTTGGTAAACTGTGGATTGAACAGTACGGCACTGTAGAAATTGTCAACCACAGGTAAAGCCAGACTGTTCAATTTTTATGATCCATCTATTCTATTGTGAATTTACATGGTCTGAATTATTAATGTGATGTGTGATTGGTTAGTACTGGAGAGAAGTGTGTACTGAACTTTAAACCCTGTGGGATGTTTGGAAAGGAGCTGCACAGAGTTGAAGGTTACATCCAGGATAAGAGGTGAGATCCTGACTCACTTGATTTAAATGAGGAAATTGTTGCATTGATCAATATATCAGTTGTCTTGGATTTATACTTAACACCTAGCAGCATTACACAAAAAAACAAATGTTTTCTGTTATCAGTTTCATTATAGAAATGCACATTTGCAATCAGTCTCTATTAATTTGTCCTGTTTTTTAGGATAATGACATGACTGATATGACTAGTCATATGTAAATTTCATTTCTTGGAAACAATGATGACCTTTAAGATTTTAAAGTTTAGAAAACCGACACCTTTGATACCCGTGACATTAAGCACAGAGTTTGTTTATTGTTCTTTATTTAATGAGTGCATGTTTCCTGTTCTTTTCCTGTGTATGTCACATCCAGTAAGAAGAAGCGCTGTGTGATCTATGGGAAATGGACAGAGTGTATGTGGAGCATCGACCCGCAGGTGTACGAGGCCCATCGGAAACTCGAGAAGAAAGGAACAACGGACACTAAAAAACAGAAACAGGTGTGAAAGATAATAGTTGACCACTCATGCTGCTAATGCTTCCGGTAAAACTAAAGCAAAGCTCTCTCTGTGTTCAAGGTAACAAAGAGAGAGATGTAGACTAGTATCAGTAGGAGGTGTAGACATCTTAGACTATCTGTAGTGATTCATGCACATGCCGTGAATAATGGAGTGTTGTTTTAGGGTTACTGAACTGTTTGTATTGGTGTGTGTGGTTTAAATGTGCTAATGTATGTACAGCAGAGCTGTGTGTAGGTGTAGAGAGAGCAGGTGTGGTAAAATACTCATCATGCCTCAGACCTTTGCCAGAGTTTTGTCAGTTCATTTGTTTATTTAAACACGTGTCTCATTACATGACAACACACCCAGCTGATTGCTATATTTAACAAATGTCTTGTCAATGAGTGTGGGAGCTTCTGTGTATTTTCTGTATGGATGCATACATTGTGACTTAAAAATGGTCGCTATCATCCTCATGTCATTCTAAACCTGACTGGCAATTCCTCTCCTGTGGAACATAAAATTAGATACTTTGAGAAATGTCTCTGTGTTTTTATTCACAGGATAGAAGTGAATGGTCACCCCAACTTTTTTTGTTGCAAACATTTTCAAAATATCTTCTTTTGTGTTTTGCAGAAGATACTAAGTAACCAAGTGACACTTATTTTAAACCATGAAAGCCTGAGCTGACTTTTCAAGCGAAACATTTCACAAATATAACTGTTTAATTTTAAATGATAAAATAGTATATGCATGCACTGGAGGGGGCACTTGGTTTGATATCGTGTCTAATGTGTTTATGCTCTTCCTGAATGCTAGGTATTGTGTGAATAATAAAAATGAAAGTATATAAGGGAAAGTTATTGTGTTTAATCTATGTACTTGCGCCAACAGGAGGAGCCAGAAGCCGTCAACGAGGATGCCGATGAAATGCCTGAAGTACAGGAGACTGTGGCAGTGATTCCTGGTAGCACATTATTATGGAGAATATCATCAAGACCGCCTAATTCAGCAGAGGTTCACGCACGCGCACGCACACACACACACACACACACACACACACACACACACACACACACACACACACACACACTGTTCATGTGCAGAGGCCTGAAGGCACAGACACATCAACACATGGCTTTAAGTGAAAAAACAGTCAAACAAACAAATGGATGATTCCTTAAAAAGTGAAGTACACTATTGTTTGAAAGTTTGGGGTTGGTGCAATTATTATTTTTTAAGTAAGTCTCTTATGCTCATTAAGACTGCATTTATTTGTTTAAAATACAGTAAGAACATTTTATTGTGAAATATTTACATTTAAAATAATTTTCTATTTGAATGTCATTTAAAAATGTAAGCTGAATTTTCAGCATCAGTACTCCAGTCTTCAGTGTCACACGATCCTTCGGAAATCATTCTAATATGCTGATTTGCTCCATAAATATTTTTCTTGTTATTTTCAGTGTTGAAAAATTAATATTGCTGCTTAATATTATTGTGGAAGCCATGTTTTTTCAGTATTCTTTGATGAATAGAAATTTCAAAAGAAATTTTCTGTAACATTATCAATATCTTTACTGTCACTTTTGATCAATTCAACACATCCTTACTGAATAAACGTTTTAATTTCTTACAGAACATACATTTTACTGACACCAAACTCTTAAACACTAGTGTAGTAATGGTGGTCTACCTGATTCCAAACCCCTTCTGTTCACTTCTAGATGTATAACTTCACTAATTTTTCCATGACGCTGAATGAGCTGGAGCCTGGCACGGAAGGAGTGCTGGCACCAACAGACTGCCGCCTGCGTCCTGACATCAGAGCCATGGAGAACGGCAACATGGGTAATGAAGTCATTAAAACACAAAACCAGCGCTACAGCGCCCCCTGCTGTTCACGCATGCTAAACCCTGACATTTGATTTCTTTAACTGTGCGTGTTTGTGCAGATGAAGCCAGCAGAGAAAAGGAGAGACTGGAAGAGAAGCAGAGAGCAGCTCGTAAAGAGCTGGCCAAAGATGGTGAAGAGTGGTCGACTAGGTTAGTGCTGCTCCTTCTTTACTGTTTTTACTGTTATTTATGCAATATTTTGAACCTCCCCTACTGTTTTTAGGTGGTTTCAGTTAGGCACAAATCCATATACAGGATCACAGGACTGGCTGTACACTGGCGGCTACTTTGATAGGAAATACACCGACTGTCCTGATATCTACTGATGAGGAGGTGCAAGTTCAAAGAGGTTTTGTCACCTCCTTCCTCCCTCTCTCTCTCTCTCTCTCTCTCCCCAGTCTACAACAACCCTCTACACGATGCACCATCCACAACGATAGTGCTTATGCTCACATTAAACTGAGTTGCCTCCATCTTCAGCACTTGTGTTTATGATTGTGTTTTTGTCCTTTGGAAGCGTCTTCTCTCACTTCCCATCAACCCTGTAGGTTTTATCAATGGAGGAAAGCATCGAAACAGCAGTAGGAGAACCAATTTGCCATTTTCTGCCTTTGAACGTACAAACCCCTCATCAGAGATCCAGTTTGTTTGCCGTCAGCAATGCTGGAGCTCAATATAGATGTAGTTATGTCACCAATAAAATGTGACTGAAGTGCTTTGGGCAGAGAGCAGCTCGTAAAGAGCTGGGCAAAGATGGTGAAGAGTGGTCGACTAGGTTAGTGCTGCTCCTTCTTTACTGTTTTTACTGTTATGCAATATTTTGAACCTCCCCTACTGTTTTTAGGTGGTTTCAGTTAGGCACAAATCCATATACAGGATCACAGGACTGGCTGTACACTGGCGGCTACTTTGATAGGAAATACACCGACTGTCCTGATATCTACTGATGAGGAGGTGCAAGTTCAAAGAGGTTTTGTCACCTCCTTCCTCCCTCTCTCTCTCTCTCTCTCTCTCCCCAGTCTACAACAACCCTCTACACGATGCACCATCCACAACGATAGTGCTTATGCTCACATTAAACTGAGTTGCCTCCATCTTCAGCACTTGTGTTTATGATTGTGTTTTTGTCCTTTGGAAGCGTCTTCTCTCACTTCCCATCAACCCTGTAGGTTTTATCAATGGAGGAAAGCATCGAAACAGCAGTAGGAGAACCAATTTGCCATTTTCTGCCTTTGAACGTACAAACCCCTCATCAGAGATCCAGTTTGTTTGCCGTCAGCAATGCTGGAGCTCAATATAGATGTAGTTATGTCACCAATAAAATGTGACTGAAGTGCTTTGGCCGTTTTCCATGTACAGTAGGTGTTTAACATATGAAAACTAATTCCAGATGTTTTGAGTTTGGCAAGCACTGAGCCACCTCTGATCCAGCTGTATGTAGAGCGTGAAGGTGATGAAGCATTAAAGGAACTAACAGCAGTAATAATGTTTAGAGAATGTTGATGAATGTTAATAATGAACTTTGGGTTCGTGAAGGTGTGTGTGTGTGTGTGTGTGTGTGTGTGTGTGTGTGTGTGTGTGTGTGTGTGTGTGTGTGTGT